CAATGCTGTTGGAAATTGGGTAAGGGACGATCGCCGTCATGACGCCCCCAACCATCGACATTTTACGCGTGGATTCTGGACAGGCTTGACTATCCTCTTTGATAAGGGATGCGCTCCCCACGGTAGGTTCAGGCCGAAGGAAGAAGGAACGACCTGCCGGAGACTCAAAGAAGGGTCACAAATTGAACGGAGATTGTGTGACCAATGCGCCGATAGGCGTGAGCGGCCATACAAGGGCACCGGGAAGCCCCACTCTATCGATGCTGACAGTTGGAGACAGATGTCTACCCGGTTACGGGAGATACACGTCCAAGCCGAACGGGAATCCCTGACAAAGGAACGGCGTCGAGAGCATCCTGAAAGGGGCCCGGCTGCTCCAGCGCCGGGCCGCAAGCTTCTCATTGAGTTTGCTTGCAAGCCTGACTCACGTCTGTCCGCTGTGATGATGGAGTGTGGTGGCGAAGCAGTTCGTGTGCGCATAGGCTCATTTGACATCATGAAGGCAAAGGGCGGTAGGGTTGCATGTGAGTGGCCTAGACACTGTCTCGGGTGGAAGCAACCGTTCATGCAGAAGTGTCTTGCTGACTGTCAAGACCGTTGACTTTGACGGCTGTGATTTCGGAATGCAGGATAAGAACGGCGTGCCAATCAGGAAACAGTGGAAGGTTGCGACGACCTCCAAAGAGCTCATTGAGGAACTCTCAGGTCGGAAGTGCAAGCACGAAAAGGGATACCTTCATGCTCGCATTGCGGAATCAGTGACTCCGACGACCGCCCTCTATCCGAGTGCAATGTGCGAGGCGATTGTCGGAGCTTGGTACCCAAACGGCGCATTCAAGAAAGTCGCGAGGGCTATGCCGGTTGAAGTTGATCCTTTCGAGCAGCGATGGAAGAAGAAGCCTAATACCTTGTATGTGAGTCTTGACAACGAGAATGCCAAGATCCCTACACGGGCTACTTCGGGGAGTGCAGGTTTGGATACTTATGCTTCTGAAGGAGTGTGCATTCCCGCAGGGGGGTCAGGCATAGTTAACACCGGGATCTCGATAGAGATGCCCGCGGGTGTGTATGCCAGGATCGCCCCCAGATCAGGGCTAGCTGTGAAGAACGAGATCGCTGTAGGCGGTGGGGATCGACCCTGACTATGATGGTGAAGTCAAGGTCATCCTCTTCAATCACGGGGATGAGGATTTCATTGTGAAACCCGGGGACCGCATCGCGCAGCTTGTGCTGGAACGCGTCATGCTCATTGATGCATCGATTGTTCCTAGGAAGGTCAGACGGAGAATCGATAGGGGATCCGCTGGCTTCGGAAGCACAGGCATTGCTGCTGCCGCTCCTACGATAGGATCTGATGGAAAGAGCTTTGAGTTCTCCATGCCCAGCTTGTACGCTTGTGTCGCTAGACCCGTCAACAAGAAGGAACAGGCTGCGAATGCCAAAGCAAGGGCTGCTCTACAGAAGGAGTGGGGCAAGTTGACTTCGCAAGGATGCTGGGACTTATCAACTGCCCAGGAGTGGTTCGATGTTGCGGCCAAGGCCCGAAAGGAAGGGGAGAAGATCCATGTTGGTAGGATTTTTGACATCTGTGTTGAGAAGAATCACGAGCTTCCTGAAGCAAGGGGCGAGTCGTCTTTGAGGGATGCTTTGTCCGTGATGAGGTCGGGCACTGGGCCTTGTTCTCTCTCCTGTCCCGCCACTATGGCAGCGGGAAAGATGGGTGATGCTCACGGGCTGCTTCCCGGAAATCTTCTGGAAGTGAGTGATGGGGAATCGGCGTACACTCAGACTCGCCTGAAGGGGAAAGAAGACCTGGGTGAGGATTCCTCGTGACCAGTGGTTTGACAGTAGTGGGAATCCCAAGTACAAAGATGCAGTCGTCGTCGTCGTCGTGCTCGCATTGTACGGGCATCCTGACGCTGGCACCTTCTAAGAACAGCACTGCGAGGCCATGCTGAAGAAGGTCGGTTACGTCAAGGTGAAGGACTGGGCCAGCGTGTTTAGGCACGAGGAGCTCGATCTCTCCCTTGTCGTGTACGTGGATGACTTCAAGACGAGTGGACCGGCTAAGAATATTGCAGCTGGATGGGCCCTGATCTCGAAGGTCATCAAGATGGAGGAACCTAGGCAGCTCCAGAGAAATCTTGGCTGCGAGCATGAGTTCACACAGCAACTGGTCAAGGGTCACTTTGACCCAAGGCTGGCGTGGACGGTGGGCAATCCTCCTGACAAGGAGCAGGCCCTCTTCGGTGGAGGTGCTGTGGGAGCCCGGCAACTTCCAGGACGGTGCCAAGCTGGTCGGCGTCTGCTTCGCCATCGATACCAACTTGCGAGATTGGGCGCAGCAGGTGGAGCAGACCGTGATTGACCAAATGCTGCTGTTCGACACACCGAGCTCCAGAACCAGCTCCAAAGCGCTGTCAAGGTCAGCCAAAAGGGCAAGCGCGTCAAGTGCAAGATCAACATGGAGCGCTGTCTCTTCTGAAATTCGGCCGGCACGCTCGTGCCGCGCCCCGAGGAGTTCTCCCGTCGCAAAGGCCGCGCGCTGGTCAAGGCCCGCCAAGTGTGGCTGATGAACAGACAGTGGGGCGTGCTCTTCGAGGTGCGCCGCCTCATGTTGGAGGCGCAGGAGCCGCCCCGGTGCCCGTTTCAGCCTTAGAAGAGACGATCTATCCTATTCTCACGCTGGCCTCAACGCACAACTAGAAGCTCGGCGGGCAGTAGCCCGAGAGAGCCCCACATACAGATGCCGAATTGTGAAGAAAGGGCTTTCCGTGTCGAGGAGACATTGCCATGCGCGCGTCAACCCCTGGCAGCTTGCGTAAGTCATGCCCCAAGACGGGTGTATTTGAAGACCTCGTCCCTTTTGAGCAGCATCCCGCTCTCTAGTTCCAGAGTCTCGCCGTCGCAGGCCTTTTTTTTTTTTCCTGCAAACGTACCTTTGGGCAATTTTCCGCCGGCTCCGACCAAAAGGAGGCCTGGCCATACGCGCATCGATTGAGGTTGGTTTGTGTGCGATGGGTACTCGAGCATCAAGGCTCCCGGCGGGGCTTTCGCGCAGTTGATGGCTTCGTTCAATTGTATTCGTCGCCAGCGGCTCATTGCCAGCACCGTCCCGATATCACACACCGGAGCGTGGCAGTTGAAACTTGCTCGCGCCTCCCGAACCGCTGAAGCCAAAGGGACCTCTCTGGGCTCATCGATGCGCAGCCCGCGCAAGAAAGAACAAATGCGCTCGTCGCTGCGCATATTCTCGGTGAGCTCGTGGCGATAGCCGCGTGCAAGTGTGTGACGAGGCTTGGGCTCACACATCCCAGACTTGAACAGTCCGGAGGATCCACCGTCTTTCTTCTCCTCCGCCATGGACAGTTTCCCGATGTCAGGAAGCGTCTCGTCATCACCCCTTCCCGATACCCCTGTCGGGGCCTGCTCAGTCCTGTGCTGCCCTGACGACTCGCCTCCGGGTGCTGCTTGTCCTCATCATCAACATGCGGCCGCTTTCCCCACACGATCTTCGTCTTCGGCTTCAGGAGAACTGCAACACCTCCAGCCATGTGACGCCCGGCCAAGTGGCTCCATCAGGCTCATCCTCAAACCATCACTTCGTGACCGGAGGAGACGTGATGACTAGGCTGATTCACGCGGGTTGCGGCCGATAGGCTTGCGCCCACTCTCCAACGGTCGGCGCTGCGGGGTGATGATTGCGATCCTCCCGCGCCGCTGAGGCGCGGTGTTCATGTCTCTCCTATTCCGCTGCTCGGCTGCTGGTCATGGTGACCATGAAGAAGTGTGAGTGAGAGGGCATGCAAACTGGTGGAGGATAATGCCAGGTTTGCGGAATGTGTATGTTTGTTTCAAGCACGCATGGTCAGGAGTACCTCCTGCCGATAGGTGAGGGTACTATTGGACATACGTCATTTTCATGACTTCTGATAAGAATTGAACTACTTGCATTTCTGATGCAAACAGTTGTGGCCTATTGTCGTCACGTGGACTTTTCCACAAGGTATGTTGGACAGCGTTACCCCGATTAATTTGGGGTGGCTTTAATGCCCGGGATGTCGCGCGACTGCCTTTGTGGGTTTGCTCCACCGCTGATGGCGGTAGTGTCCAGCTGTTTGCGGACGTACGCGAGCAGTTAAATCCTATCACTAAATGGCACGCTCCACCCGTCAGATGACGGGCTCCTCGTGAGGGGTGCGTGAGTAGCCATGGTTTAATCCATTAGCAGGGATGTCGCGATAGTGACTGACAGGTGATGTTTGGCTCAAGATTGCGGGTCTGTCGCGCCTCGGATGAGCGTCGCCGGGTCCCCGCGTCGTTTCGACACCGTCGTGTCGGTGGAGAAAGAGACATCGGCCCGGGGCAGATTGGTGGGGTCCGCCCGTGCGGTTCATCGTCGATCAAGGTTGCGGGTATTTGCATTCTTGCTTTTGGTTGTTGTTCTCTGTGTGGGAAACCCTGATCTTTGGGACCGGGGATTGGTTTGCTTGTGGGGAACCTTTCTTTGTGGCTTGTCTACCCCAACTTACCCATTGCCTGGGCACAGGCTCGTGCCCGAATCACATATAAGATAGGTTTGCCTGGGACGTTATCATGTGCCGGTGGGGATCTTTAAAAGGGGCCTGTGGGGGGATTTTTCAACAAAAAAAGACATGCTTTTGGCCGCGGAGGACCTCATCAGGAGTCCATTCGGGAGGCTTGGCAAACCAGCCTCTAGGTCGCAATGGACGCACATGGGAACTGTTTTTTTGGTTTTCCCGATAGCTTTAAAAGGAAGCAAAACGGAAGGCTATTTGGTGGTACCCTTAAAAACGCGTGAACTAGCGACCATTGCAGTGACCATCCAGCATGTACCCATTTGTTCCCCACGGCCCAAGTCATCTTCGTGCAAGCCGTGCGCCATGATGGCTGCATCTCGGGCTTGCCTGCGGCCTTGCACCTTCGCCGCCTTGGTCTTCACGAAGTCCGGGCAGCACGTTGACCATTGGCCTTGACGCATGATCTGCTGCATGTGGGTCAAATCCATGTCCTTGGGGCCGGCGTCAGCCCACATGTTCTCGGTCGACGTCTACTTCATTCAGCCAGCGTTGGGCTTGCGAAGCAGTGCTCTCATCCTTGCCATAGACTTCCTTGTCCTAGACGTCCTTGTCCTAGACGTCCTTGGCGGCCACCACCACATTTGGCGCCGCGACTTTGTAGATGGCGTCCCGCCCTTGAAGGTTGAAGCTCTGGGCAGCTGGCACGAAGACACAGCGCAACTCGCGTATGTCAAAGGCCTCAGCTCCAAGAGTGGCCTGCAAGAGGTTCTGCTTTGCCAGTGTCGCCGCCGAGCGGCAGATGATCTACATGAGCAATTGTCATTCCCAGCAACTGCTTGCCTTGCCAGTAAAACCAGGACCGTCTGAGTTCATCCTGCTTGCTGCAGACTGCGACTAAGGTGCATCCACTATTGCCGCGGTGCATCCCAAAAGCTCCTTGCAGCACGCAGGCCAGTGAGCCTTTCAAGTGTTCAAGCGTTGGGCAAGCTGGGACCTTGCTGAGGGTCCACGTTTCTTTCGTAGAGCTCGCAGTTCGCGTAGAAATCGCCTTTGAGGAAGGCAGATGTCACCTCAGAATCTCCAGCTCACGCCGGATGGCACGTGACTTCTGCTTGCCCAGAATCTGCGTTGTGCCTCCGGCGGTACTCCTTGCGAGCCGCCTGAACCGCGTCGACCGCAGGGTCAGAGCTCAAAGGCAGGCAGTTCCTGCTGAAGTCGCCACTCGCTTGCGCATACCGATCTTGAGCAGCTAGCGCCTGCGAGTGCAACAAGGGGTGGATGTCCTTGCGTTCCCGAGCCAGATTGCAAGGGTCCCCATTTGTGACCGTATCATCCTCCGGGTCGTCATACTCCACGACGTTGACCTGCCGTACTTGCCGGAGGAAGCCGAGGACTTTGAGATTCGTAGGCGATGAAGGCTCTGAATTGAAATGACCATGACTGCCAAGCAGTCGGCGAATGCCTGCCGTTGCCGATCAGCTTCAACAGCTGCAAGGCCTCATGTTCAACTCGGTCTCACCACACACTGGCGAAGCAGCCAGCGAGCAGCTAGATCATATTTGGCAGTGGCTTCGAGGCACCTTTCATTTCCCGGCAAAACGTCAGTGCCATGGGACCAGGCGCCGATGCTTTTCTAGTCGCTCATGCCGAAGATGAATTCCTGGGCCTTCGCGATGTTTGCATCAGACCAGCAAACTGGTAAAAGGCCAGTGTCAGCAGGTTGTCAAAGAGGTAAAGAGTAGGTCCACCTAGCTAAAAGGTGCGAGCTGGCTGGCGCCATTTGGGCTTGCCTGCGGACACCCTTCTACAAGTATACATCTGACATATACGGATTGGGCATCCGGATGTCGGACTTTGGCTTAGGTCGTGTGTCCGCGCCCACCTGCAACGCTGAAGGATGACTGCGGCTTGAAGAAGGCGTTTTGCAGCTTGCAGCCTGGTCAGCTGCCCTGACGCTTTTTCCCTGCTTTTCGCAGGAAGGCGGCACCCTTTCATCGTCAACAATGGCTCCTGATGAGGCATGGGTGCACAATTCCAGAATTTAAGCAACACTTGGCCTTTGGGTGGATTTTGAAATTGTGCTTCCTTTGTCCGATCTCGGGGAGGTTCAGAGTCCTGTTCAGACGGTGGGGGCGCCCGGGGCGAGGGCATTGCTCGTGTACTTGTCAGTGTAACTCGTGTGCTTGTGCACCTGAGATGAACGTATTCTCCACGACTTCACACATTGCAGGATTTTATTGTTGTTTTCTGACCACGTGGCTATGACTACCGAAGTGAGCTGAGCCTTGTTGGCCATGCCAAGGTGTATTTCCGGCGCGACGCGCATCAGGCTGTGCAATCGTACTGCAAAGGTTGGATCGCCCAAAGGCTGCGAGGTGGCTATGAATTTTCATTCTTGAATGTAAATGATATTCAACACATCCGTCCAATCAAGCTTCTCGCATAGGCGCATCTCTTTATGGAACCTGTCACCTTGCCCTTTGTGGCACAGGCCAGAAGTTTCTTGCATGGCAGAGGTTGTTTTCATCTCTTGGGACCGTCTTGAAGGCATCCACTCCTGAGGGCGTGACTACACGATATCCTCCACGACGACCCGTCAAGGCAGCCGTTTTTCTTTGCTTGCTTCGGCTTGGGAGCCTTGCGGTGTTGGCAGGCACGGAGATCGACAAATGGAGGCAGGCTCGCAAGCACGGATGACCCCTTGGCTTCGAGCCCTGGCTCAAACTTTGCGGCTCAAGGGGCATGCCAGCATGCTTGGCAGGGGGCGCAAAGGGCCCGCCGCGGCTTCGCTCAAGCGCCTCGGAGTCCTGCGGCGTTCGGGCGGATGCCAGTGTCTTCGCCCGCTCGGCTTCGGACCGGCGCCGGTACTTGGAGGTATCCAAGTCGGCACGAAGCTCTCGCCGCACGTGGGCACAGGCCTTGCAGATCCTGTGGGCTGAGAACGTCAGCACTGTGGCGAATGTGGCGTTGACTGCACGCTGCAGGGAGTTTGACCTGGAAAGCCTCAACACGTTGCTTGGCCACTGTGCCAAGAACGGGCTTCATGTGAAGGCAAAGCGCCTCCTTGCCGGAGGGAAGCTCCAGACCATTGAACCCAGTCTCTTGTCACACAATTTGTGCTTGACCTCTTCCCTGAGGTCGTTTCAATGGACAGAGTTGCTGCGTGGTTTGGAGCAGATGACAAGATCCTGGGTTAGAGGGGATGTGGTCACTGAGAATTGCCTGATGGCTGTCCTTGCGCGGAGCCACGGCTGGCAGCACTGTGTGAGGCGTCTGGCGCAAGTCCACATGCAGGACATGGTTACCTACACCACTGCGGGGTCTGCCATGATCCAGGCAGGTGCATGGAGCCTGGCAGTTCAGGTCTTTGGGCAGGCTTCCAACTCGGGATGCCAGCCTGATGCCGAAACCTATGCCGTGCTTTGCACATCCTGTCTCACGCCAGCAAAAACAGGGAGAAGCAAGTCAACATGGTGTCTGGCGAGCAGGTTTCTCGCTGCGAGCCAATTGCATGCTGAAGTTAATATCAAATCTTTGGGCTCCACCATTGCCATTTGTGGCAAGGCCAGCCATTGGCGGAGGAGCGCCAGGCTTTTGCAGGAGTGCCACGTGAGGAGTTTCCAACCGGGGAGGCTCGAGCACAATTCCGTGCCAAGAAGTTGGAGGAGCGGCTTGCAGAGTCTCCGAGACATGTGCATCGCAAAGTTGGAGCCGGATGGGGCGTCTTGGAGCGGCCTGTTGGTGTCCGGCAGCTGGAGGCTCTGCGGAGAAGTTCTGTTGGCCGCGAGCGTGTTGGGGTTCCAACGGGATGGGGTACTGGTGAGCACCAGCCTGGGGGCGTTGAACGCCGCCCCGTGGCGTGTGGCCATGTTCGCCATGGCGAGCACAAAGCGGACGGACAACATCCTGCAGAGCGTGGTACTCCGTGCCCGCGCGCAGCTCCGCTGCTGGCAGCAGGGGCTGAGTCAGTTGCGCACGAGGCCGAGGCCCGCCCGGGACATGAGAGACAGCTCATGGCCCATAGACCCTCAGGACTCGGCTGTGCTGATGTCACTGCAAGAAGGAGCCGCCTGGGCAAAGAGCCTACAGATAACCCGATGGCTGGTGTCCTCCCGATGCAAGCCTGGCCTTGGAATGAGCGCAACACTCACCGCCTGCGGGCCGGCACACTGGCAAGCCACGCTGGTGGCGGCCGGCTGGCTTCGTGCGAGTCTCAACTCGGCGTCTCAGAGTCGGGCATGCACTCGCGTGCGCACGTGTAGCCAAGATCCGAATGCGGGTTCCGGCTAAGGTGGCGAGCACACTAGTGAGAGCTTGGGCGCGTTGGCCGCAGCCCTGGCGCCTCAGTGAGAGAGAGAGAGAGAGAGACAGGGTTGTCCTGGGGGGCAACGCCCTTTTGGCTGAGCCAAAGAGGAACCGGTACCTTTTGGTTCTTGAACAGAGAAATAGAAAAGATAACTTAGGGAACCCCAAAGTTGCCAACCTTTCCATTTGTCCCGCCTACCTGCCTGTACAGGTCATAGCCATGAAGCCCTGGCGTTGGACCCTTTGGTGCCTGCGCATGCTGGCAGGCGGTGTTCGTCTTTTGGCATGACATGACCTGATCAAATGGAGACATGGCAGACCTGGACCTGGTCGCCTCCTTGCTGGCCGTTTGCGCTGCTGCAGCTACTTGTGCTGCATCTGGAAGCTGCGGGCTTACCGGGAAGATTGCGTTGAGCATCTCTTGCTTTGGTTGCCTTCGAGAAGGCATTGGCGCTCAGGTGTTTTCCACTTCTCCAAGCTGGCTGCAACTTCGCAATCCAGAGCTCTGCAGGCGAGCAGCAGGGCAGGAGAGGTTTGCTCGGGAACTGCCTTTCAATATTCAATGCCTGTTCAGGTCCTGAGAACTGCACACTCTTGCGGCGTGGCAAAAGTGGCCTTGCCTCAACAAATCTCTGCTGAGCCGCACTCGTTGTGACACGTGCCAACTTCGCAGGGCCGTGCAGAGTTCCGGACGGCGCTTCCGAGAAGGAGCAGACGGAGGCTGAGCCCTTGAAGGCCGAGGCGAAGCAAGCTGCATGGCAGGCGGGTATAGGGAAGCGTTGCCAAGCAGCTCGTTTCGTGATTTTGTTTACTGGGTACGACTGGAGCGGGTTCCAGGGAAAGAGAGAGAAAGAGACAGAGAGAGAGAGAGAGAGACTGAGCCCAGGTGCCCGAGAAGCCAAATCTCCGAGAGGAGCGGCGAGAGGAGCGGCAGCTGACGCGAGCAAGAGTGCGTGAGTGGGTGAGAGAGACAGACCAGGCACCTGACAAGCCGAATCTTCGGGAGCGGCGAGAGGAGCGGCGAGAGGAGCAGCTGACTGGCATCGCATTTCTTAGATTGGTACAAACTGAAAGAGTGACTCATAAAATAGATTGGCAACGCGCTTATCCCATAGAATGCTGTTTTTTGGCTTCTGGGACCAGAGTGCTGACTTTCCATAGGATTGAAATACAGCGCCTAGAAAAGTTGGGATCACAGGACGCATCTGGCAGCTTTGCCTGCTGGGCATTGAAGTCGCTCAATGAGGTGCGCCGAGAGTCCGCAACCCCGAAGACGCAAGCCGTGGGCGAATTGGTCACTATTTCATGATCCCTAGCGTGGATTTGGGACAGGGGAAAACGAGTGCACAACAACCAGGGCACACTGATTTCCCACCTCCGCTTGGGAGAACAAGTGAACCAGAATCAAATTTCGGGTAAGTCAAGGTTAGGAAGAGTACATGAGCAACCTGTTGGGGGGACCTCAATTGAACCAACTGAGAGCAATATTGTCCTTGGCCCGCATGATGTTGGATTGACCACGTCAGTTTTTACCGTGACTCATGCAGGAGCAGGCCACGAAGATCTGCGCTTCGACCTTGGCGGACCTGCCAGGACTCAGACTCAGCAAACTGGGTGGTCTCCCTTTGGCGTCAAAGCAACACCAAGAAAGGTACCTTCAAACAAATAGAAAACAAATACATTGATGGCACCTGGTAGAGATGTGACCTTCTAGCTTGGTGGCCAAGTAGATTCTTTTGCAGCCCCAAAACTTTTGACGAGGACTAGCAGTGCAGTGCCCTGCGTGTCCCACTTGCCACGAGCTCGGCTTGCAGTGGCCGGCTCCGCTTGCAACCTTCGCTGTGACTGCCACGCAGGCAAGTCACACTGCCCGGATCAGATCCGGTGTCGCCAGCGAGCAGAGCAGGTGCCAGACTCGACCATTTCCCCTCAAAACGGCCCCACATTTCTTGGATGGCTCAAAATTCCCTAACAAACCGTGTAGCACCAGGAGTGACCTCTGGCCCCGTCAAAGCCTTGCCTCTTTGCCTCTCTTTTTTTGGCCCCATTGAGAGGCAGCCTTCCGGCGCCGTGCTGAAGGTCCCACGCCTTGGGAGCTGGGAGGCGAGGTCCTACCGGTCCCATGAAATCGACAGGGTGAGCCACACTCAAAGCCGCAAGTGAAGGGGACGGTGCCCGTCCAAGAGCTGCAGATATGGGTTCCCGCCCCTTTGATTCTTGACATTGGGTAGACCACATTCATACCAGGTTTTGGTTGTGACTCAGGTGCCGCGATTTGCGGTGGTCAACACATTCTTTTTTCCCGACCCTCTTTGGGTGGAGGACAAGGGGAAACCCATGTGTTTGGAGGAGAGTAAGAGGTAATATCAAGTTAGTTTTGAGCCTCTGAAATGGCTGGAATGCTCTTGGTCAAGAGCAGAGTGTGGTCCTGTCTTGTGTTGAGCCAAATGATACCGAGGCTGGAAGGATGGTGCCGGACCATCGAACCTGGGCACATGGATGCTCTGGACGGTGCCCTTTGCCACTCGAGCTGTGCACGAACTAAATAGGTTTGGACTTTCATCTGAGGCCAAACATTCTTTTTCCTGCCTCCTTCTGGCTGGGTTTAAAGGGACACCGAAAGGAAAGCAGGGAAGTATCATTTCGGGTGATTACGTGACCACTCAGTTGGGTCGATGTGATGGGTACTGTGCTCAGCAGCTTGACAGATCTCGCCGCCGAAAGTTGCGGCTCCCGGTGTCATGGAAGCAGGACGTGGTAATGCTGCAAAAGTCTTAATGATTTCCAATAGGCTCGCAGCTCACCCATTTTCATGTTGGAAAAGTTGTTTCCGCTAAAGGCTCATTTCCAATTCATATGAGCCTTTGTTGAATGATTCAATGTGTATCTCATCGAATCGGGCCCTCCGTGAACAGACTCGCCTCAAAGCCACGTGCACGGCTTTCGAAGGCGGGGGCCCTTTGGTTGGTCGTGCCGTGCCCGTTGGTCGGTCCAGACCTGTGCAGGCCATGGCGCAAGAGTGCGGCACTCACCGGATGTCACAGGGGGATGTGCGCAAGGCGGTTTTGCGGGTTGCCGGACCCTTGAGATGCCTCAGAGTGGCACAACATAGCCTCAGTCTCCACGGTGCGGGGGAGGTCTCTGCCCGGCTTCGAAGTTGGTTTTCCGAGGCTAAAGAAGGAGAGCTACAAGATTACGGGTGATCCAAAGAAGCCTGATGGCAGCTGCCACAGAGTACTTGATAACAGGCATTTGACCTCAACAACTGGATTCTTGCAAGGAGCAGTTAGTGGGGAAGGGAAACCGTCTTGGGAATGTCGAAGCGTGTGTAGACGCAGACACAGATTCAAACAGATTGGAGTGGAGAGGAGTGTGAGGTGCACCGAACTCCTTCGTGAAGATGACCTGCTCCAGAGCCAACTTCCGGGCTGCGGGCTGGAAGGCGCACTCAAAGCTAGGTGTCGACTCTTCCAACTCGCAACGGGTTCGTGCTGGTTTGTTGACGCAGACCAAACACGGGCCAGCCATGTATGGTTTTTTTCAACATGCGGCCATGTTGAGCGTACATTGCGGAATGTGTGTTGATTGCTCTTTGCAGTTGATTGAAGGACGAAGACTTCAAGAAGCCAGTCATCACCATCGCAGCCCCGTGCAATGCTCAGAGGGATCGGGTGCATGCACCAAGTTAGAGCCAGTTGGTGCGCCTTGGAACGGAAGCCAATCTAGGCAAATGTTCAAAAGAGGGCAAATCATGTGTTGGGCAGGTTGCTGTAGTTTTACAATGCAGTCGAAGGAAGTGACCCCTTCCAGGTACAGCAATTCCATGCCCTGCAACAACCAGGCCATTGACGTGGATGCTTCCCCGAATCAGAGACCGCCACAAATGGTTGGTTTCCTCTTGCGTTTTTCTCTTAAACAGACCAACCAGAAAGGGGGTATCCAATTTGAGGACAGCAGTCTGCATCAAATCCACCCGCAGTTTCGAGACCTGGCAGACATCCTCGCCGAGGAGGTGCGAACGCCTTGCAGTGCTTGCTTGTTGCATGCTGGCCCACCGCAGGACCCCAAACTGGGGTCCCAGAAAAGGTGTTAGCCCCGGTTGTGAGTGCGATTCGTCGTCCAGGCGTGATGTTGAGGTTGCAGCCTTTTGCTTACGAAGCACGCTTGATGCAGGCAGCTGGTATTAGCCTCGCAGTCAGCAGATGCGAATGTGCGCTTCACACACCGCAGCACTCCAAGATCGAACAAACAACCATCAGCAGGACAAAGTCGATTCATCAGCTCTGGCAACTTTGCGACCGTTGCGAATTGCCATGGTTTGGCCGGATTCTTTGACCTTGCACTTCTTATGGGAAAGGAGGAGGCAGCTTGGGTAGAACTCAAACGAGGCGAGGCTCGGATTGTCCTAGTCAGGGAATCTTGACCTAGAGTTTCAAGCATGGACCGGATCCGAGCTTGGTGGGAAAGGGCTCAACAGAACTTCTAAGCACAATTCGCCCCAAAACCAGAGCTCGTGAGGGTGACCGTGGTGCATCCTGGCCTGGTAAATCTATTTGCGTGTTTTTTTTTAGGGTTCAAGATGAAAAGAAACGCCGAGACATTGCTTTGAAGGTTTGCAAGGGCTTGCCTGGGACTTGCAGGCCTTGGCTGGGACGACGACAGCACTCCCTTAGCCGGGCGGCCCAGACTGCCCCATGCCTGTGTGCAGTTGAGGACCATCCATTTCGGAGGTTTCCCCGCGATTGTGAGGCAAACGGGTCCTATGTTTGTTGAAATGACGAGTTGGGCATGGCTCGCTAGGAGGATGTGCCGGACGATGTGCTGGAAGGCTTCGAGCGATGGCGCAAAGGGGATGGAGTTGGAGAGAACGGCATCAGGCACAAGCTGAAGTCGTTCTTCTCGAGGCGCGCCTTACGGGCAAGTGGCACGTTGGCCCTGCATTCATGAAGCTGGCGGATTGAGAGGGGGTTGGATTTTCATCATCTCTACCGGAAGTTTCAGCAAAGATGGTGGCAGGGTCTTTTAGTTGACTATCCCGGAATCCAACAGTCGACAACGAGACAAAGCAAAGACTTTCTGTGCACAGAAGTGAAGTGCACGGCACGATGATGGAAGACAAAAGTCACCGGCCAGGCCTTCAGCACGAGAGCGTGTCTCGCAAGCACAGATGAGGGAAGATTGTGCCAAGAGGAGACGAGCGCTTTATTTACGTGGCTGTCCTTTCTTCAGGGTACTCTTGTATTTTTAAAGGACAATAAAATGGACACCACCCAGGTTTGGGTTGTATTGGAGACAGATCTATGTATCTAAGGCCTGACTGCTGCAATCCGGTCTGGCATCCCGCCGAACCTGCGAGGAACTTTGTGGCACCTCTGCCAATGGCGTAGTACGCTGGGGCCGTTCAGTTGGGGATCCTTTGGCATTCATTGGGATTGTCTACAGGGGAAACTAAATTCAACCCTTTTGGTGGTTCCCAAATTTTGAGCGCAAGTTTCGATTCACCAGCCAAGGTTCCTGTGCAGTGGTGGGCTAAGCAAGAAGCGCGCTGCTTCTGCCTCTTACCAGTCGCTGGTCACTTGGATAGTTGAGTAGAAGGTAGAGCCAATTAGAAAGCAGCGTAGGATAGTGTTGACAATGACACCAAAAGCAAACTAACGAGCGCCATCAATTTGCTGTTGCAACTAAGAAAACTCATCTTGGTCACCCCAAGAACTATGAGGTTGAGACGTGCTTGGGTGAATGTTGTTTTCGTGAGGAAGTACGGACACCTGGTGCGCTGAGGTGGACGAGGGGCATCGCTGCAAAGACACCGTGGCGGGTCGCACCATTGCCAACGACTTGCCGCGAAGCGGCTGTGAAGAATCGCTACTTCCGGCGCTGGAAAATGTGCTTCTCGCATATTCAGCCACTTGGAGTCTAGCCAGTGAGCAACCACCTTGCTGTTGTTTTAGAATTGCCAAGCTGCTTTGCTGTACTGGCCTTTAGTTTAGTTCTTTCCTTAATGCGATCGTGCTGAATGTAGCTTGGGTGCCAATTTGCAGCTTCACATGTCCATCCAGCTCTTTTGCTTCATGCAGGTTAGAAATCCAAAAATCGGGTACTGCCAATCCATGAACTTCATCGCGGCCACGTTTCTTTTGCCACTCCGGTTGCACACTTTTCTCACTTGCCCAGGTTGCTACCTCATTGCGTTTCTTTGTTGCCGTCTCAGGTATTGCCGTGAGGAGCACGCCTTCTGGATTTTGTGCAGCGTGATTGAAGATCTGCTGCCGAGTGACTACTACACTGAAATGCTGACCGGCCTCAGGGCCGCCGCATGCCAGCTGATGTGTTTCACACGGGCGTGTCTTTGTACCCTTTCGCGCGGGTTTGAAGGGAAACCAAAAGGAAACCCCAGCATTTTGTGGGGTCCACCAACAACAAACACCCACATGGGCAACTGTTCAGCAGTTGATGTGTTGGAAAGGGGACGACCTCAACAAGTCACCGTGCTTGCAGATAACTGACAAGCAGCAAGCAGCACTCATCCAGTCCTCAGCCAAGGATTTGCGCGTCTTCAACTGGTGTCTACAACAATTTCTGCCTCAACTTGGCCAAAGCTTCGCCAGGACCCCGAGCAAGACACTTGGGAGTTTCTCGAAATGGTGGACACCAACAATATACGGGACCCCGATTTGGCGAAGTGCCAATCCAAGCTTGCCAAGCTTTCCTGTGTGGAGGAGTGGAATCGACGTAGCTCCGATTCTGATGAATTGGTTCATGTGCTTATTTGTCTGGAGCTCAGAGGACTGCTTTTGGCAGGACATCCAGGGTGCATTGCGTCTGAAACTTCGCCTGGGGAATTGTCTGGGCAATTTCCAGCTAACAACCTTGTTGCGTTGCACCTTTCTGGATCGTTTTGCGAGCGCCCAAGGTGTAATTGCAAAAGGCCCTCGGACAACAACATAAGATAGAAATGTTTGGGGTCCCCTTATTTGGGGTTGCCCTATCGCGCTATTGTAACACGCACATCTTTGCATTGCCTCCAGGTAAACACTCTTCCTGCAGAACATGCTCATCGAGTTCTCGACTGTGTCTTGCACGAGGGTCACTTGGCGCTTTTCCGATCAGGAGCCCGCGGACGGTGTCAATCATTTTGGGTGCCCGAACGGGTGCCAACAATTGGGTTCCAGCGTTGCATCCGATCGGACCCATGTCGTAGAACTCATTTTTAGTTTGCCAGACTCTGACCATGTTCGGGCTGCAAAGCAGAACAGTGCGCATCTTATCAGCACAGTACCTCCGTGGAAGGGTAAGTGGATGCAAATTCTATGTATGGGGTGTGATGGACTTGCGGCAGTGTGAGCTGTGTCGTGCAGGACTGGCCATCTTCTTCCTGAGGAGTCAGGAGCTGTTGCAGGTGAACAGTGTGATCGAGGCCGCTGTGGCTGAGCGAACTTTGTGAGAAGCAGCCAGACCCGATTTGGCCTCCTTAGGGAACGCAAAGGATGCAAAGAGGAACTCACGGTCTTTCCTTTTCCCGGTTTCCCTGTTTGCCCGCGTCTTTGTGTGTGTGTGTGTGTGTGTGTGTCTGGGTGCACGACTTCAAGCTCTTCTGAGTTGAGCCAGGCCACTCTTTCTGTGTGTGTGTGTGTGTGCCGAGTTCCAGATCTACCCTGGAACCTATCGTTGCAGGGGGTGCCAGGGGCAGAGCAAGGCTGGCACCAACGAAGACCTTTGCTCTTGCCTGTGATATCAATCTCGGACGCGAGATTGACGTACCTGCACCAGTGATTCAAAGTCCTTTTGGCCCGTTGTTTGTTTCGCTGTGTGTGCTTCATGTTGGATCTGGTAACGGTTTCGACACTAAAGAGAAGCCAAGCGCCTTGCAAGCCGAAAGTTGTGCTCAAAAGTTGTACTCGTAAGTTGTACTCGGAAGTTCAGAAACCTCCCTCGGGAGTTCAAGTGTGATTACCCCGTCTCGGGGGACCCTCGGATGCTCCCATTGCGTGGCTCCGGGACGGCGTTGCCGTTTGATTTGACATTGGCGTCGATCACTAGTCCAGCGGAATTTCTTCACTTTTAAGCAGAAACGAGGTTTCACTAAAGGGAAGACAGCGTAAGCCACCATCTCCGTTGCTGGGTTCAGTGGTGCTTGCTGGGCTGGAGCCGCTGGTTGAGTTTGTTGCATTCTTTTGCCATGTCTTTGAGTGCTTTGTGTCTCAAGCATTGGGTTTTGGAGTCCCGTCTTGTGCTGGATCATGCCTCGCCGTGATGACCGTGAACGATCTCGCGCTCGGCACCGTCGTGGACGATCCGAATCTCCACCTCGCAAAGCACGCAGACGTAATGATCGTGATGATGATCTACGCCAAGCAGATTCTCAAGATTGGCTTAACCCCTCGGATTTCCTTACAGATTCCTGCGTGCGCGTTCTCGAACACTTCCAATCCAACGGCCAATCGGTATGAACTTCATCGCTGTTGAGTATCAGCCTTTTACTTCCGTGTTTCCTTCAAAGACTCGTTCTACAAGACAATGGATATATACCAGCGTTTTTTTTGAAGTATTGCATTTCTACAAGGCCGCGCTGCTCCGTGACATTATGTTTTCTTTTTTCGCTGAACATCGCCATTTGCGTTCCCTACGTGCTCGACTTCCTGATCTTAGTGTTTTTCTCCAGGATGTTGCTCATTTTCAACAACCCTGTGTTTACCTTCGAATTTCACCATGGTTCCTGCCATACTACATCGGTGCAACTGATCGTGATGTTCTACATAGGAAGCATTCCAGGTGTCGCAAGTTTCTCCAACTTCAACGCGATCAACACGCCCCTTTTTTTAACCTGCCCTTCATTACTGGCGACGACGTCACTCGATGAACAGCTTCGCACTACCTCTTTGCCCACGCGCTACTGCTGGCATTTTCGTGACTGGAACACATTTGGGTGGCAACGACTACTGCCCCCTGCATTACATTGCCTTCGACCACTTCACAGGTTGTCCTTGCACTGCCACTCATGTTTTGTGATTT